CCTTCCCTCAAACCAAATAAGCTGTATGAGACATGTTAGAATTTCATCTCATACCTCACCTACTCCCAATCCCTGTTTTTGTTCAGTAACAGATACATACTCTCTCAATAGCCTTCTTTGTCCCTCCCTTAGAATATGCAAATATATTCATTTGATATTAATAGACAAACTAATGCTTTGATATTGAAGGCTAGTTTAATGTTTTCTATTGAATAATTACTAATGCGAACGGATCATGTGTCATAATCCAAATTGCGCCTTCCCTTAGAAAGGTCAAGATTGGACTACACTAAAAACAGTGCTAGATTTAAATAAAAAGGAGCATTCACTTAAAAAAGATTCAAGAAGATTTTAGCAGGATCGAAAACAGAATCCATGTGGAACTTTCCGTGGTTTATAGCCTAGGCTGTCATATTAAAGTTTACAATGTTGCAAATAGCTTTAGAAAAATCATGTAAATAGCATAGGAAAGTTGAACTTTAAAATATTGGCTTAAACAAGAAAATCACAGTTTAGCTTCAAGGCCTAGATTATACATATGGTCAACAAACAAATTCTTCTTTCAAAAGAAGTGTATAATAGTTTTACAAGTAACCCAAATAGGTTTTCAAAGAGCTTTGAGCTAGGATACGGTTTTGTGCAGATACAAGTTTACCTTAACAAACTTGAGAAAGCTTTTTCATAGTAGCAACCACAGAAAGCTCCCAAACTTTCGAAAATCCCAGTTACACTCCACTCCTAGGACTATTCTGAAATGGTTGGAAAAACAACCATGTGAGCTATGAAGCCTAATTATAAGTTACTGCTAAGAGCCATGATAGAACTCCTAATCAATTTAAGAAGATTTGTTTAGTTAATCCATCATAAACCTGTAGTTATAGTAGAATACAAAATAGTAGGTTTAGCTGAATCAACTTGTCATTAATAATTGTTGTTCCTCAAACTTTAATCTTCATATCTGCTATACATCAAAGTTGTTTCTTGGCTTCCTTCTTTACAATTCCACCATATCAGCATTGTTCCTCACAACAGAAAATATGAGAAATTAGTACTAAACTAAAGTAAATAGGAAAAAAAGTAATATTAAATAATGTCCACAAAGATGAAGAATGGTGGGCTGGGGCATGGATTGATCACTTTCTTTAGGACGTTTTGTGCCTTTAGTGCAACAGTTTTGTATGGTTATACCGCCCCCAGAATACAATAGCTTGACATTCTACATTGTGGCTTTACAAGTGCTGCACCCTTGTAAAGCAAGCTCCACACCACCACCTTTCCTTGCTCAGCAGAGAATAAGAGTGCAGTACTTTTTTTTTTATATATGTAACAGTATATGGTACAAATAGAGGGCTGCCTATTTATAGACTTTCAAACTATAATGAAATATAACCATCAACTTCAATGGCTAAATAAATCAAAACTATTGCAGGATGAATTTGAAAATATATAAATGGTTGCAATAAACATTTCATTTATTTTTTTTTCCTTCAAGAAACGCATTCTCATTAAATTTGCAAATCAATTTTTAATTAAAATTTACACCAATAATCAAAATAACATTAAGCAGGGACTTATCAATAAAGCTATTAGCAAACAAACACACTCAATTCATGCTTCAATACTCAATGTTCAAGGTATATGTGCTTAATACAAATACAATGGCATGGGGCCTACTAATCAATATGTGGTGCACTCACATTTTCCTAGAACTTGTCATGGCATACCCACCTACACAGTGGTCAATAACAATAACAATGGTTGCTCACTCGAGTACAATAGTACCTAGCTTTAGCATAGGTCGATACCCCCCCAAAGAAAACAATGCAATTTAGCTTGTATGCGACAATGTTTCAATGCTCTCAATAGGATCTTATTCCTCATCAATCATAAGTATCACTAGTAATCATCACTGACCATTAAATATCATTTAGCTATAACTCATGTCATTTTGATCATAAGCATTTAATAGCAAATAGATCTGATAACATCTTTTGGGTATCAACATGGGATTACAGAATATAGGTAGTCTATATTCATTCATCACATAACCAGTGAACCTGGTATGCATATACAATTGGGATGCCTAGAATACTTAATACAAATATCTCCATGTCAATAAAACCAATTGCAGGCTATAAATCTGGTTATTATAACTATTTCATCCCTTTATTACTTCTATACAATTTGACTTCCATCTTCATTTCAGTTACAGCATAGCTACGATATAGCCTATTAGCCTCTGCAAGTTTATTTACTAGTTTATTATATACTTGCAATCTTTAGTAATAGCCAGCATTAAACTCCATCTATTATGTCTACAAATCATATGCATCCTCAATACAATAAGTAATTATTGATTCTAATCCTTAATCCTCACTTGGATGTCAAAAACCCATCACTAATAAGCTATGTACAGTATTGCAACCCATTCTAACTGGTATTATCTTAGTTCTAGCGTCATTTTAAACCATGCAATTACCATCTTACATCCAATTAAGCTACAAAAGCAGTAACTTGTACTTACCACACGAAACCCATTACCATATTGGGTGGAACTTCCTTGGATTTCCTTTAGGTTCTTCACTGGTTGATCAGTAGCTCCTTAATCGTTGCTCTCCTCTGGGTCGGCTCATATGCACAAACATGTACTGGTTGCTAAGTTGAAAACACTGTAAAAAGATGAGAATAGAAACTGCCCTCCGCAAACCTTTCTTCCTCTCCCTCTCTCTTTGTTATAAAAAGAATAAGATAGTAAAGAGTTCTAAAATGTTTCATTCAAAACATGCATAAGACTATGGATTTTTGCTAATGGTTTTCCACTAGCTCTCACGCCACTTATCTTGTGTATAAGACAAGTGTAAACATGACAAGCGAGTGCTAGTCAATCAAACTCCACTCCACTAAACAAGTTTTAAGAAATTGGCCATCCAAACACCAACTTCTCCTTTCTTACAATCAAGTCCCTCCAATTGAGGACTAATGGGTTTTATTCTATGCATCTAAGGACAGGTTATGACATCATGATTCGAAAAAATTTTAAAATTTTGTGCTTTTAACTTAAAACTCTCTCTCTCGTTGCATGTCTCCTTTTATTGACATTATTTTTCATTTACATGTAACCTTAATTGGTGTAATTGCCTGTTTCCCTTTTATTTGCGTAATTCTAGATCTTTATAATGATTTTTGTTTTTCGTTTTTTTCTTTTTTTTGGCCATGGTATGCATTATAATATTTGAAAATTAAAATAAAGAAGTCCATCAGCCAAATTATCAACTACCATCAAAATTTCAGATATGGTCCATGAATAAAACTGCAAAATGGCTATCGTTGATAGGTGTCGTTATAGTTACTCATTAAAGTTATTTAAAAGTTATTTAAAAATTATTTAGTTTAATTAATATTTTATTTATTTATAATTTTTAAATAATTAATTATAATGTCTAAAATATTAATTTATAAATTAATTTTAATTTATTAAATAACGAATATCATTTATTTTATCAATTATTAATTATTTTAACTACTAAATCAAACAAAATTTAAATAATCTTAAAAAAATAATAGGTATTCATGACCATACTTAAAGTTTTTAGTTAGAATGTAATACAATTGGTATTTTCCGGCAGCTAGAGCCGAGATTATTGCCATACATGCAACTTTCGCCAAAACCTCAAAATTACATTTATTTCAGAGAAAAAAAAAATCTTGTTGATACCAATTTTCATGTTCTATTCCAACGCAAACTGGTATAAAAATTACAAAGATTAAATGTTATTTTTAATCATTGAACTTATAATTTTGAATAATTTTTTGTCTTTAAACTATTTTTTTATAATTTTAAATTATAAAAATTACACTTTGATAGTTTTTATGTTAATTAATCTATTAAATTTGTCTAAATATGTACCTTTTTAATATCTAAACTTATAAAATATATGCACATTTTTATTTTATAAACTTAGTAGACTAACTTATAAAAAAATTTTAAAAATGCATTTTTTATAATTGAAGAACCAAAAAATGTGAAAAATAGTTCAAAACTAAAAATTTACAAAATTAAAAGTTTAAGAACTAAAATTGACATTAACCAATTAAATACAGGCTTAATTCTTTGAGTTACGTTTGGCAATACATATTTGAATTTAGAGCATGTTTCAAATGCATGTAATTTAATTACGTGTATTTTAAAATATAATATTTTGATCAATTATAATCTCGTGAATATAAAATTCAGTTTTAATTAAACTCTCCCCCCATTACATCCCACTCAGAAATAACAAACTACAAACCCGAGTAAAACTTCAACACAATCCCATCACAAGTCTAGAAAAAAACAGCTTAACCCCATCAAGGCAAATTATCGAACAGGTGGTGTGCAAAACAAAAGACTATTCTTCCCGCCTCAGAACCTCAGGACCCAAATATTTTCGAATATCAATTTGAATACATGTAGCAAAAAATTCAATCAAGAGGACACAGGAGATGGTGACGTTACCGATGAGGCCAGGGAGAGTGGTTAAAGCAAAAGCAAGGATCCATCTTAATTTGATGAAATATCATAGTGGAGAACTGAAATTCATAGGGTAGCCGGGGTATTTGAAGCAATTTCAAATACACTCTTATTTAAACAAACAGTGTATTTGAATTTGGAGGCCAAAATTCAAATACACTCCACTCAAACTCACATTGCCAAACAGACAGTTACACAATTCAATGTGGTGGTTAGCAAAATCAACTATGATGCTCTTGCATAGATTGAACATAACATATGACCATCAACCTTCCCCAATCCTTATGGTATCAGTTATGAGCTGATACAATTTCATCTCTCAACAGCAAAATTTTCTAATATGCTGAGTGTAGGATAGTAGCACCTTTGTCATGTCACGATGCCCCTGTTAGTCAGAAGCAAGAAAGATAAACCATTCCATTAACTAATGTGCACTCCTGCCACCAGACCCTGAAAGGGGGAAGAATCCATACATTCTGTGTCTCGCTCTCTATTTATGTTAAACATTTCCAAGTACGTGCCCAAGCAGCATAATGAGGCATTATACAAACTTAAAGACTAAGACATGAGAAAATAACAAAAGATATTTGTAATGCAAAACCATCAGTGCTTCAAATTGAAGAAATCTCTTCTCTACCTTAGTCTAGACTATTATTATAGTGATGGAATTCTCCAGCACAACATCCACAAAGTTCAATATTTTGACCATCTTTGCATTTGTGATTTATTCTTGTGAAACACTAAAATCCTTGCATAACCATTACAAATTTGGATAGCACTAAAGAATAGTAAAAAGATAATCACCACACTTCTTTCAGGCATCCATATCTTCTCTTTCTGCTTGTAGAGGTCATTAATCTTCTTGATATACTCATCCATCGGTTTCTGCAAGAAGAAAATATTTTTCAAATTTGAGCTTGCAGAGAAAGGAAAAGTAAAACCATGTTTATTTGCATATATACAAACCAGAGACTTGAGTAAAACTACAAAACAGAGAGAACAAAGATTTTTGGCAGAGAAGAGGATTAACAAAAATAAGAACCATTGTTTTGTTTGAGGCTGGCAGGTATCAGCAGTGTTATCAAGGATTCAATTCTGGTTTGTACATGATAAATCTTTCCCTTTCAATAAGGTATAAAACCTGTGGCTGTGTTAAAATGAAATCAATTTCAAATGGTTGCCATAATCTCATTGTTGCAATGGAACGTCCATAACATCACAACGCTCATCCTGTTTAGGACAAACATATTTATTCCAAGCGGTTAAAGTACCCAATTCATCTAGATATCACCTCAATAATGTCATATATGCTTAGTAGAAACTAGTTTCATACTCACTAAGAATAAGAACTACTGTTCGTTCTAGCTTAAGGAAGAAGACACAAAACTTCCCTTGATTTTGTTCCTACATCTAAAGTATCCAGAAAATGGTACACCCAAATATAAGGAACAAGTTCAAAACATCCTCAATTCTCAGGCTCTATAGCTAAGGTGAACAGGCAAGCATCATATTACCTGCAAATCACTTGATAGATCCTTAAAAATGTCTTCAAGAGGAGGATGAAGGAATCACATAGTCCACAACAATGACGCCATCCAAATACTCCCTCACCTTCTCCTTCTGGATGCTCACGAACTCTTCATTAGACTCCGCCGCCTCCATATCCGGCACCCCAGGGAAAACCGCGATTGAAGCAATGGAAAAGCCCTTAGCTCTCTCAGAGAAATTTTCCCCACAGGTAATCTGCTGAATCCCGGAAACCCCCTCCTTAATCCCTTTGATTACCCCCAAGACCTCACCTTTAGCTTCATCGGCAACGTTCTCTTTTAGTTTCAGGAATGAGACTTTGACCGCAGACCCAGGTGGCGGGACAAGGGGGTTGGGATCATGATCGGCGACCCAATCGACGGCCATAACGTCTTCGCAGATGGGGAGCACGTTCTCCTTCACCACGCGCTGGTGGTCGGGGTGAGAACCATAGGCACCCAGATCCTCTTTCGACTTGTACCGGCTGTGAAGCACGTGGGTGAAGTTGGAAAGCGAGGATCTGACCCGAAGGATTGGCCCGGCGGTGAGGTGGAGGACCTGGTCCAGCGAGACCAGAGCATTCAGCCCGTTGAGCATGGCATTGACCTTCGACGGCTCCGTGTCCTCTTTGACCTTGAACAGCACCACATGCTCGATAATCGACATGGTAATGGGAGACCCGGAGGCCTTGCTGGAAAATCTGACAGTGCCTTTCAGGTGTTTGGGTGCTCGGAAAGTGAGGAAAAATAGGGAGGAAAGCAGAGGGCGAGCTTTAAGGCACAGCATCATTGATCCAGTGAGAGTAGGGAATATTTCGTAAACGAATGTGAAAGGGATTGGGGGAATTTATTTTTGGGCTTTTTTCGAGGATTATGGGCTGGAAAGGCTGGGCCACTCTTCACTCCTTGAAAAGGCAAGTATATTTGCAACCGCAACTTTACATTTTTTTCTTTTTTTTTTTTTACATATTGAAATGATTTATGTATATTAATTGGGGAAAAATGAGAAAAGGTTTGTGAAACTCATAGGAGGTAAATGGTTTTATTCCAGAGTCTATATCACTGGTGGAGAAGAGGTTTGTGAAACTCATAGGAGGTGAATGACCTTAACTTAAAATATATGTAACTGTTCGGAGTAGGCTATTCAACCGCAACTTTACATTTATAATGGCTCTTTGGCTAGGAATTTACAAACAGACACTAATTGTTAATTTTAATTAAATAAATATAACATTTTAAATTATAAATAATTATTAATTATTAATTATTATTTATCAATTACTTCTAATTAATTAATCCAAACAACTCTAATATTAATTAAAATTATAAATTTATGATAGAGATATGTACTATTAAATAAATGTAACGTTTTTAAATAAGGAGATATATATATTTTTGAGAAAAAGAGAGCCAAATATATAAAATTAAATGTAATATTTAGTCTTTCAACTTAAAAAATTTACATAATTTTTTTTTCTTTATTATTTCAAACACTTTTTTTTGTTCACCCATTAGTTAAAGTATGATATGGCAATGTTTCCCTTAAAAATATTAGCAAAAACAAAAAAATCAGGACGTTCTAAAAATTTAGAGACCCTAAATATTATCTTTTTAATTTTAAATAATACGTGGAAAATATAAATTATATTTTATTGTTATGTGAAAATTTTGAAAGTTGATTTGGCATTATTATCCAATGTGTAAAACCTTTTGCCCATTCACATAAAATTTAAAAATAAATGATTATTTTAAATTATTTAATCAAATAAAAATCTTTTAAATTGCACAAATACCCCTCTTAGCATTATCGTCTTCCTCTTATTTCCCGTTCCATTCCACCTTTTCATCTTCCTCTTCTCCAGCACCCATTTCTCTCCACCCTTCCTCCATTTTTTTATATCACGCTCTCTCAGCTTCCTATAACCTCTCTTCTTGTCCGGTTTCCTTTAAGCTTTTTGTAAGATAAAATGAACAAATAGATTTGTGAGGAAAAACCCTTCTGCAAGATGCAAGAAGTGGTTGTAGTTTTTCATTTATATACAATTACAAGATGAAATTTGAATCTTAATTACAATAATTGCATAAATAGCCGTTGATTAAAATTACTTATTTGAAGCCTTAATGGTTGATTGCATCTTCCTATTATCTTGGAGATTAATTGCTGGATTCTTGCTGGAGTCAATTAATTCTGATTTGCTGTGAATTTGAAAATCAAATGCCTTGCTTGAATCATGGACAGCATTTAAACTTGATGATCTTTGAACCCCATTTAAACTTGATGCCTTGCTTGAATCATATTGCCTTGAATCACGGACAGCATTTAAATCTGATGATCTTTGATATTTATCAAATGCTTTTACAATTTCTTCTTGTCGAGCTTCCTCAATTGAAGGATTGCCCGAGAACTTCTTGAACTCCTCGTTTGTTTTCCGATCAATCTCATTTTTGTTGTAAGTTTAACAATATCATGTAACATTATAACTATATTATTTTTACTTTTTGCAATGGATGCCCTTCTGCATATCTAACAGTTATTTGAAAAAAATAAAAACTCACATATATATAAATTTTACACATAACACTTATATAAAATTTTGATTATTTATTTATTTACTTTCGATAAATGAAATTTTTTATAATTTTTTAAATGAAAAATATAATTATTTTTGATAAATATGATAAAAAAAATAAATCTTAACTATTAAAAATAAAAAGAAGATAAATCAAAATTTTATATAAGTATAATATGTAAAATTTACACATAAATAAATTTTTACTTACAAATAAAAAACTGTAGAAGAAAATATAATCAAGAAATTCAGAAATTCTAAGAATGGAATTTTATTTTTCTTTTTTAGCATCCCCAGAACCGGACACAAGCAGGGTTTAAGATAAGTCAAATGCTAATTTTAGTCCTTCAACTTTAGAGTTTTGTACAATTTTTGTCTATTAACTTTTATTTGCACTTTTTTCATCCCTTAATTTTGAATAATACATATTTTTGGTCATTTTCTCGGTTAGTTGATTAAATTTATTTAAATATACATATTTTTAATTTCTAAATTTATAATATATGTACATTTATATAAGTTTAGAGACTGAAATGTGCATACATGCATAAACTAATAAACTTAATAGATTAATTGATAGAGGGACAAAAAATGCATTTTTTTAGGGCTAAGGGATCAAACAATGTTTAAAATAATTAAGAAAAACTATGCAAAATCTTAAAGTTAAGGAACTAAAATTGACATTTCACCTTTAAAATAATTAAAAGGAAAATGATTTGTTGACATTAATCATTGACAATAAAATCTTACAACTTAATGTGCCACAATTTATATTTCTTCTTTTTTTGAGGAGATGTTTATTTACGTATAAATTTTACATATCACATTTACATAAAATTTTAGTCACTTATTTCTCAACTTTCAATGATAGTTTTAATTTAATCATATTTGTTAAAAATAATTATTTTTTACTTAAAAAATCAAAATAAATCTCAACTATTAAAAATAAAAAAATAATTAAAATTTTATATAAATATAATATATAAATAAATTCATTTTCTTCTCTCTTTTTTTTTAATGAAAAAGTAAAATTTTGTCCATAAGAGAAAAAGAGTACATGCACTAATCTATTATGATTCGGGGAATTGTCCTGTAAGTAGGGCACCCACACACTGCCTCTGTTAACATTTTTTCTTTTTCTCTTTTTTTTTTTTTTTTTTTGGTTGTGAACTGTGATTTTACATTTAAATTGTACGAATCAGAGCTTTTTTCTATTGAGAATAAGATTTTGCTTTCTGGAAGTTTTCTGGATTCATGTTCCTATGTCTCACGATTGTTATATGCATTTCCCGAAATTTTCTGGTTGTTTGGTGGTTGAAATTTAGTATCTGTTCATGTCATGGGTTTCTGCACATTCGATCCCGAATTCATGCTGGTATTTTCTGGGTTTGCCTTAGCCGTTCATTGGTTTTGTTAAATTTTTTTATGAGCATAGGAGAGGCATAAACATTCACAATTTCAAATATTTTTGAAGGAATTTTTTAATTTATAGTATATTTTCACTATTGATTTACGTAAAAAATTAATTTTAATTTTATTAATTATTTAATTAAATTATTTCATATAATATTACTGTTAAAAATAAAATTTATTTTTACAGGGGTCGGCCTATTTGAGTCACAACCCGCAACCTTCGTTACCTATTGATTTTAACAAGACTGTGCCCTAAAATGGGCCTTAAAACAAATAAAAAAATGGATCCGACGATTTCAATTTGGTGCAAATCTAGATTCTCAGACTCCATTTTAATGCAATCCAGTACCTCTAGCCCTCTATTTAATCAATTTGATCCCTTAATTTTAATGAATTTTAATTTTGTCCATCACATTTCAAGTAAACGATAAATGAGGCAAAAATTTTAAAACTAAAATTTGGAATCAATGACATTATATAAAGATATGTCATTTAAAATATTAAAAAGTGAACATTATTATTTAATTATTAACTCTTTTTAAATTATTAACTCTTTTTACTTTATTAGGTCTCATGATATTATATACATAAATTCATTTAATGACATGGCTTATGTCAAATCATTAGTTCTAAATTTTGGTTCTATAATTTTGTCTGCTATATCACTACTCATTTTCATTTGGTCTCCAAGCTTTCAATTTGTTTCAATTTGGTTCATCCACTTTCACTGTTCCTATCTTATCCTTCCATTTTAAAACAACTTTAATTGCGTCCAAGGGCTTTCAATCTCTTTCAATTATTATATTCATGCATGTTTAAATGATTTCAAATAATTCCATTTCACTTTAAAATGTTTATAAGTTGAATTAAAATCTCAATTTTAAAGCATGTATCTATAATTTACATGAAGAATTGTGAAATATGCATGTGTTCTTCCTCACTCCTAATTGTACCCCCAAGCCTCAATCTTTACATACTTATTTTAAGTAACTTGTCCCACCTTATAATTTAAACAAATGATAACTTTAATCTAAATCTTCAAGGCTTAATTTTCAAATTCACATTTTGAATTTTATGTGGTCATCAATACCTCTTAATAAAAAGAACCAATATGTAATGCACAATTTATTATTGTTCCTCCTTGGCCTGAACATTTTGAGTTAATGTTTGTGCATGAGTTAGTGGATGAGGAAACATATACCTAGCGGTAGTAGTTGTTGGAGGAGAATTTTTCACCATATGAAGCTCGAATTATTCTTTTGA